TTTTCACATTAAATAATACCAATAAATTTTATTATTTTAATGTCACTTAAAATTCGATAAATAAGAAAAGGATCTTTACATTAATTTTATATCATATAGTATTTCATATCACATTAATTTTCATATTTATATATTGTACAAAATATTTAAATTTCTGATAGCTGTATGTCTATTAAAAATTCACATTATTACACAAGAAATTCAAAAGTGGAATTTCTAAAAATTGAAAAATATTGGAATTTTTTTAAAGCATATTTTTTTAATGTAAAAAAAATCCTACAAGGAACACTCATTACACGAAACCAAAAGTTCAATCTAAATTTGTTGCATTGTGAAATTTGTTTGAAAATTAATAAGGAATGCCATGTGGAAGTGAGACACGTCGGCGGACAAATTTACATGCAGAAAATAATACGAATGCTCTAGTGATAGTAACACGCGCAATTGCGCTTATTATAGTTCGTACATGCGGCGGATCGATCAATCCCGCGCAATCGATCACGAGTTCTTTCCTCGCGCGCGCGTTTTATTCTACCTTCATTCACGCTCGTTTACTTGCGAACACCATATTCGTTCGACAGAACACATTACACGTACACACATGTTATACCTATATGTGTATATACGATTTTTCGATGTGTACATCATCGTTTCCTGCGCCATTGTGTCGCAGCCAATCCAGCAATTTCCGAGACTCTTCTGCGACTTTGCGATTATGCGCCTCTTTAAGGTCGATCGACACAATCGCAACACTTCTTCTTCATGTTCTAATCGTCGTCTTTCGCGGCGAGATTTCATACTTACAAATAGTAAACGCTTCGAAGTATCCTTAGAAGGATTACCACGATCGACCGTACTCGAGGTTTAATCCGACGAATCTGGAGAACAATCAACAGCAAATCGGTTAATCAAGGTCAAGGTAAACGTGCACAGCACGAGATTTCGACTAGATTATTATGTTTAAATAAATTATGTAGATCTATATACACAGACAGACACACACACATAACACATGATATACCTAAATGAACTAACTAATCCAACTAAGAGTAACATTACGCATCAATATTATAATTTCCTACTCATCAAAGTAATTGTTACACATGTGTTATATTACACGCACATTGGTGAGAGGAAAATTATAATATTGATGTAGTGTGAATGTTAGATTATCTTTACTGGGTACAAAACACATACATACAATTCATTTGTATATTACATGTACATACCATACATTTGATATCGAGCGCACGATGACACAATGCTCCTGAATTTACGCGCACACAGGATGCCCAATGCAATTTTCCATGCCAGAGGAAATAACTTTTTCCTTTGACGAAGTTACGTCCGACCGATAGTTTTGAAATGAGAGGAGTTTTTAAAGCTCATACAAATGAGAGACGAAGCATCTGTTTTATTATTTCGCTAAAGATTTTATAACTGGCGTTATTTAAATCTCGCTACTTTGAATACAGCTTACTTAAAAAAAAATATATAAATTTAATATTTTTGAAGTTATACAATTGACAATAGATTAAGTGATCCAACTTGCACAAGAGAAAGTTTTATTTATAAGACAAATATGTGTAAAAAAGAAGGCCTTTTTATTTATATACTTTAAATTGTTTTAAAACATTTGATCAGGTTCTTTTCAACGATTAGATATTTACTAATACCTTTGGACATTGGATTTAATCTTATTTAACCGACTTATTTTATTTTCGATATGCCTTAAAGATAATATGCCTTAAACATATTATATCGATTACAGAGTAGATTGTAATTCTACTTATACTAAAAAAGTTATCTATACTGATACATTTTCCTTTTTTTTTACTCTTCTTTTCTCTATTTTGTCAAGTATTTAAAATAATAATTTTTTAATTTATCATGCATAATTGTTATGATATTTTTAGAAATAATAAAACAATGTATATACTTACATGTCTTATCATTTTAGTGCGCGCCATTTCTGATTTATGTGTAATTTCATTTGGACGGAGCTTTTATCAGAGGAAAAAGCTTTCTTTGACACAAAGAATTGCACGGTACATTTCGCGCGTACGTGAATTCTAGGACATCCTTTATATTATCCAATTGTTCTAAATGAATGAAGGGACATTAACGAAAAAGTAATTAAATCGGTGTAATTTTTCTTTTTCGCCCACTGATTTGTATTACATGGATTGCTGATGTTTTATATTTGATTAAAAATCTATTATATGTTTTATAAAAAAACAATTACCAAAATGAATTTATTTGTGAAATATTTCGTTTTAATCACTTATTGCCATTTATTTGTGAAATATTTTGTTTTGATTATTTATTTATTGCCATTTATCACACAAATAAAGTCATTTTTTATTTTATAATTTCTTTAGTAAAACGTATTTTTAAAATGACCTAAATGTCATGCTATCATTAAATGTCATACGTAGAAATGTCTTGGGAATATCTTGGCAACGTTAATCATAATCCATTAATTCTAATACATATCAGTGGTTTTGCCATATTGTTTATATGCACACTCATCATTCACACTTGAATAAGAGGACATATATAGGCGACGATACTATGGCGCAATACGAAAAAGCTTATGTCAAGTATAGTTCGGCGTTTCCTTTTTCCGCCATCTATCATTCGAACGGGGACTCTTTTAAATTAATGTTATATATCCGTACACAACTTTCAAGCACCCTGCAAGAGCACGTTTTCTGCGACCTTTTTTCATCCGTGTGATTCTATTAAAAATATGATTATAAAAGAAAAAAATAAGAAAAAGAAAAAACAAAGATGCGAACGCAAAACACACTCTCAAACGCAAAAACTCTCAAGAGTTTTGAGACAAATACTAATGTACTTAAAACCATCTGTGAGTCTGCCTCGTCTTTTATAAAGTTCTTGCTATATTCAATCTATCGTATATTCAATTTGTATCCCTGTTGTCCCTCTATTGATATAATCAATCAATCCCGACGGAGAGACTGTAGTCCAGCCAAAAAGTAAGTATAATTTTTTTATATGACAATACGTGAAATGATATGGAATGATATTAACTGAAAAAAGTCACCTAATTTTTTTTTTTACGTAAACAATCACTCAGAAGTTTTTAATTAAAGTATTTATTACAGTATATTTATATTGTTTTCAAATATCAATAAATTGGATAATAATTAATAATGCAACATGTTTTTAATAATAGTGATTTTAATTGAAATATTTTTGTATCGCTGTTGTGTAAAAACTATGACTTTGTGACTATTCCTGGTTAATATTAATTAAGATCAGCCAAATATATAATTCTATAACAATTCTTAAATTCTAGAAAATGAATAAAGTTAAATATAAGACAGTATTTCTAAATATAATAAAGATAATTAATAAAGCTATACACTTTAATGTTTAATTTTATGTAGACGCACAAAAATTAAAAAATTCTATTTTATAAGTTTTTTTATTTTAATACATTTTTTTCTTTTAACTTGTTTTTTCGAATATTCTATAGAGCCAATATAATGAAAATAATATTTTTCTTAGATTAGATAACGCGCTAAATTTACACTTTCTGTAAAAATAAAGACTTACAGTCATCCATCATATCGAGTGAGCAGATTCAACAGGTGCTTCTTGATATAGTGGGGATAAATCCCTTCTCTTGTTCAAACTCGTTATTCGATACTCGCAACCAATCGATTATTCGAGATTTTTCGATATCAGATAACTAAACATGACGTTAATCGCACAAAATATTTGATAACAAATGTCTGTTATATAAAATTCTCTTGACTGATAAATCAGACAAATGCTATCGAGTCGCGCGCAAAGTTAACAGACGCGAAGCATTGGCGCTATCGAGACGAGACACTCATGCGATATATCGAATTGCCTACGAACTAATGCCACATGCGTTATATAACCTTACTTCGGATTTCGCAGCATTTCGCATTTCGCTTGGCAACAATGTTGGCGATCGGAAGTTAGTTGCGTGTCGGTCGCACGCTCGTGATCGTTTAAATGATCGACGTGAAGACGTTTTCCTCGCTTCCACGAATTCCTTGTACAAAAACAAGCGGATTATCTCTACAAAGAATTACCGAGGAAAATTTCAACTAAATCGTCACGTTCTAACATAGATTGATATCAAAGTAGAGATATTTCCAACGAGTTCTGAGAAATTAATGAATAGAAAATTCCTTCCACCGTAATTGCAGTCAGAGCTGTCATCATTTTATTTATCATCTGGAGTTCATTTGTCACCGACACGTGAATGTACTTTACAGTGAATTATGCATGTATGTTTCATACAGAATTTTATAGTGGCAAACATATTGATTTTTAAAATAGAATGACTCTTACAGAAATCTAATTATTTAATAGTGGTTAATTTAATACTGAAAGCGATTAATTATTTACCCATATAATACATAATGTTGAATCAGTATCTTAGAATTATTGTTGAAGTGTATAACATTGTGAACATTGCATCAATATTGCAAATGTTGCATCAACGTTGTAAAATATTTGTTATATTTTTTCCTTATTGTTCTAACAAAATATAGATTCATCATTCAAAAAATATTCACGTTTTAACACTGAACATTACAGCTTGATGTTTTACAGAAACATTTTTCTGTATTACATTGAGTTTCCTATATGATCACAGTAATTTTTAATGTTCTATATTAAATTATTATTTGTATTAAAAGCACTGAATAACTATATATACATATATAGTACTTAAAATAATTAATCCTTCTAGTATTAAACTTCTATAAGGACAACCTTAGTTTAATAATTAAATTTCTAAATGTATATATATTTGTACTATTATTTTTAGCTTTTATTATCTCTCCAGATAGAATGGTTGCTATTTCACTATCGTAATGATAATGCAATAGTAAATACCAGACCGATATCATAGTGTGCAAATAACCAACAGCCAAAAGTGTTCAAGTCATTAAGTGAGTGCAAAATAGGAGAGTGCAGACATTTTGAGGCAAATGAGTAAAATACAGAAATTGAGCAACCGGAGGCTGCTTGTCGACCTCCTGACTCTGATGTTTGGTTTGGGTGCTTGGATCGGTGTAAATGGTGTCTTCGTACAATTGCCACTCATAGTACATACAGCTCCAGAAGGATGGAGCCTACCTGTTTACATGGTGATGCTGGTGCAAATTGCCAACCTAGGTCCCATCCTGTACACTCTATACACAAAGTAAATATATGTTTCGTAATATCTCTTAAGATCATTATATAACAAATTTAATATAAGTGTGTCTTTCAGGTACACTGTTTGGGCATATGACAAATATATTATTTACGTCCTGCTGATCGCAGGAACGTTTGCCTGTATTACACTGAGTTTCCTATACGATCATACTTCAGTTGTGTTCGGCGAAGAACACTCGACTACCCTCCTGTCACTGATGTTTGTGACTGCCCTCGTTGGATGTACGAGTTCTGTACTCTTCATGCCGTACATGAGGAACTATCGTGAGATTTATTTAGTGTCCTACCTCGTCGGTGAAGGATTGAGTGGATTTGTACCGAGCGCAGTAGCACTGATTCAAGGCGTTGGTAATAATGCGAAATGCGTCAACGTTACCAAGCCAGGCTCGACTCACCTGGAATTTGTATCTGTGGAATCGGATCCGAGATTCTCCTCCGAAATATTTTTCATCTTTATCGGGACTCTGTTATGTCTGAGTTTTCTCTCGTTCTTAGGCCTAAACGCTTTACCTGTAGCACGCGGGGAGAGAGTCAAGCAGTCAGTCGATTCCGACACTACCGATTCCGAAGCTACCTATTCCGGCAGCATGGAAACGTTGCCAACTGACGCGACGGCACCGTCGAGCTACAAAACTAATTCGGGTTCGAAAATGCCGAGATTTAGCTATTATTATTTATTAGTCATGATGGCTGTAGTATGTTTCCTCGGTAACAGTACTTTACTGAGCATACAACCGTACTCCTGTCTACCATATGGTAGTATAGCGTATCACTTGACAGTCACGCTAGCTTCCATAGCCGGCCCATTGGCTATGTCCTTAGGTTTCTTTGTAAAAACGCCAGAAGTAAGGCTCCTCAATATCCTTATGATAACTATTTTGGCACTTTCAGGCTTCGTTTTATATCTGGCCGCAAAATCGCCTTATCCCCCCTTGCAACATTCGTGGGTCGGTGAATTGATGGTAGTCGTTGTATGGATAATGCTATGCGGTTTAATTGGATTCGTAAAAATGGGCATTACGACGTTGTATCGGCCCGATCCTGGAAAGGGTCTTTATTATATAGGCGTTGCGACACAAGTTGGATCGTTAATAGGTGCAATTACCATGTTTGGTTTAATCAATTATGCAAAAGTATTTCAGTCTTATTCACCCTGCACACATCTTGTAGGAAATTAATTAGTCTGTACTTAGTCTTACCAATTATCTGTATTAGTAATATTAGAAAATCTATTTTTAAACAATTTTTTCTCAGAAAGGATATTAACTTCTTTAGTTTGTTGATTCTGTTATATTCTGTTATAGTTTGTTTAATTCTATTATCAAATTTATATTAGAGATTATTTTTTTGGTAATTTTTAAATTATACTTATTTACTATTTTTACTATTTTTAGTTATATAATATATATAAAATATAAATTATTCGATTATGTGCATTAATTCTACTTATATACATAGTTATCACCTTTATAAATGCTATCACTATTTATGCTTTTGAGGCTTTCACGGGTATTTTCTTCAATTATACCAGAAGGTTTGCGGGTTATCGCCGTGTCTTTCTTCATTATTAATGCTATCACTATGTCTTTTTCTTCGAGTATATAAATTTGAGTCCAATACTCGCCCAAGACATAGATATACATATAAAACGATAACGTTTCTTCTTCCTATCCTCGTGCATTTCAAGCAGTTTTTCCATGATAGATTCTTTATTTGGTGCCGAGGTCCTAGTAAAACTTTTTTTGAACAGAGAATCAAATTCTTCGCACATTACGCTCTCGAAGCATGATGTGCACTTTTTCTCACAATCAGTTGAATATATTTATATTAAGTATAAGTACTTAATATTTGAACAGCTCAACTTCATTGTTAGATCTGCACAGATTATGCGCTAGACAGTGTTTAATCTCACGCGGTGTTTTTTCTTAATTGTCGGTGAAGTCACGCATTAATTATTTACTGTGTATAGAATATAATAAGATAAAGGAACCTCGATACAATGAGACACGATTGGCGAATAGACTATTACTTTGGACACATCAGATGCGATAATTGTCCATCTTCTCGTAATCTTATTCGGTAATAATGAAATATTTATCAAGCTGCCGTTGCTTATCAGCGTTACTTCGGAAGACTTGAATGCGTTACATATAGTTATAGCGACGTCGGCCCATTGAGCATACTGTGCCTGTTCTGCTCGTAGATTATTGCTAATGGGACTGATATTTTATTCTTACAACAAAATTATCGTCATCGGTGACGAGACGCACAGTCTGATTCTATTGGTTTTCTTCCCTTAGCACGCCCGACTTGAAGCTCTCAGAGTAATGTTATTTCTTGTTCCTGGCCCTTGTACTATCGCTCATTGCATTTATCATTCTACGTTTGTACAAAGCAACACGAAGTTGTGCAATCCTGATTTTCTCACGAAAGTTGGAGTGGACCATAAGCAAGTAGACTGACGTTATTGATAAGAAGAAAAAAAGTTTGCCAGAAAAAATGAGATAATAAAGAGTAACAAAACAAACAGTTTGTCCGTATTTAGGAAAGTTTATTGGTATTATATCTACGTGATATTATATCTTCTGAATGGAGTTGCTTCTTCAATAATGGATTTCTGCCAAATATCCAATCATACTCCTGTCTCCTATGGATATCTCGCCTATCAGCTGTCCATAGTTTGCACCCAATTTGTGAATCCATTCTCATGCTTTTTGACAGTTTGGGTCGAATATAAAGATTATTAATTGTCTATCTTTGATGCTTACGTTACGTGCATGGCATTATCTCCTGTACTCTTATTGTAAAAATCAACGATCAGTGTCAGATTGATCATTCTGTCCTGGATCATGTTATCATATGATGTGTGTCACATCGTATATTAATAAAATTTATAATAGTATATAGGGACTACATATATTAGTTAATTATTTTAACGAATTTGTGGCTCGTACCTCTTTTTCTTATTATTATTAAATTTATTTAGCCTTATTACAAACATATTATAATAGTGTCTTTTCTGAAGCACTTATTGTGTTCCAAGACGCTCTTTAACATAAGTGTAATTATGGGCTTTGCGAGCTGTGTAATTATTTCGTTTGTTTTAAACTTCACCGATTGTTTTAAGGCATGTACATAACTTCGGTTTTGAGGACAATTTTGCTAAAGGCCTTTGTACAATAATAATGGCTCGAACTATTTTTATATATAAAAATAAGCAGACAAAAAGAATAAAGAGTTTTTATTAAGATAGTGAGAATGTCTTATACTTTTAGTGCTATATCAGTTAAAAATGTATCGTTCTCCAATTCTGGAACAAGAGTATACTTTATTTAAGATTTAAAGACCGGAATATATGTATGCTTCCCACGTTATTATGTTTAAAATATTTCAAAAAATGTATTAAATTGAGAAACTGATAAGATGATATATCTACATATAAAAAACTTATGTAATTACACCTGAGTAGTGTCTATTAGCAATGATTATTAACTTTACTTGAAATATTTTTAACGAGAGCGAAAAAATTTGTTTAACTTTTCTTATTTAAGCTATTAATAAATTTTTTTAATTCTTCAGAAAAACTAAATATTTTAATTAATGAAATGTGTATAAATATGTATACAGTAACAGAAATTCACAATTTCTATTGATTGAAATAGAACATATTTGATTAGTTTTTGCAGATAAAGAAAAAATTTTGGCTGATTTCGAAATAAAATGTCTACCAATTCTTGTTACATATAATTGTATTTTAAACGATAGAAGTTTAAGAATTTTTTTGGAATTAAATTGGCCAGTTTAATTCCAAAAATTCTTTGTTTTGATTTTAATAACTATTTTAGCACATTTTTTAAATGTTCAATTCATGACTAAGAAGCAAAGGAATCTTGGAGTTCCAATACCTCATTTAAACATTGTTTAATTTTTTATTATATCAGCTTTTGCATTTATTTACATTAAAAAATTTGTGTAATACATCTATGCATTTACAATTTCTAAATGTAAATGTATTTAACATATACTTAGCAAACTACATAATATATTTTTATAGTGAAACATCCACAATTTTTATATTGCAAAGCCATGTGAACAGTTGTTATTTAACAATAAATAGTTGTAACATAAATAATACGAATATAGTATATTTTTGTTGTTGAAAAAATTATATTTTATTTGTTGCAACATTTAATATATTCATTATTTATAATAAATGAAATCTCTAAAAATTGGAATCTATTTTATAACCATAATTTGAACATTATTATTATCATATAAAACTTATATTTATTAATTCTTTTATTTGCTGAAATTCTCGTTGTTGGAATCCTTCACTTCACAGTTTCATAAGAAGAATTTATCTTCGATGAATAAAAGTTAATTAATTATTAATAAATGAACAAAAAGTTAATTTTCTCGAAAAGAGATAAATCGAATATAGATCGATCGAGATACATGCATTTCTTTTGCGACACCCTGTATAAGTGGTGTCGCTCGTGTACTATGTACACTATACAGCGATGTATTCTTACAATTAGCTGTATAAGGAACTCGATAGCAGGTGATCGCTATCGTTTGAAAACACGACAGATTAGACATCGTAAACACCCCCGTTTAAAACGCGCTCAGTCTTTGTTGAATCGTTCCGTTAGTCTCGAGCAGATCGAATGAAAATATTCAGATTCGCACGGTCCGAGGAAAAATGGATGACGAAAATGCAAGCTGCTCGCACGACGGCGAGGATGATGAACAACTGTCACTGCTGGATCTCCCGGTCGAGGTTTGTACAAAAAAAAAAGAACGAAGAAATTTTTTCGCGCGCGCAAAATTTTTTTTTGTTTTTAAATCACCGCTATTATTTCGTCAGTAGTCGCTTTTCGATGGAGTTAAGTGTGTTTAAATGGGGTAAAGCGACGATATCGACTTTCTCTCTCATTCTTTCCGACCGCAGCATCATCTGTTTGATTGTGCATTTAATTTTTTTATTGTCCTACATTTCAGATATTCCTGCATATATGCTCCTTCTTAGAGGCGTCGACATTAGTACATGGTTTGAGCCTAGTGTGCAGACAGTTCTACCTAATTTTAAAGGATGATTCATTGTGGAAAGCACGAATTAACCATACATGGCCGGATGCTAGCTACCCACTCTTGCGTCCTGGTTAGCTCAAATTGATAGCACATTACGCCTTGCACGACCACTCATATTGTAAATAAATGAAACACAGTCTATATTCCACGCCAGCGCTGTTCGAACTTGTGCATGCATATGTAGGTTGTACATATATCAGTTGTTTATATCGCGTTAGATTTTATTTCGTTTTGCATTTCATTTTTGTTTGTCTTATAAATCTTTAAGCAATTGTATGTTTTACAAAAAATATTATATTACATTACGTTTCTCGTTTATAAGAAGTCAAACCAGTTTGAGCAGCTCTGTTTACTGCAATAATCTGATATGCATAAAGTAAGAACTTGAATAGAAATCATCTCAATCAAGAATGTGCTTGTAGTTTATTTGTTCTTGATTCAAGTTGTATGTGTATGTATTTATTTATATTTGATATTATAATACAAGTAAGTTTTTCTCATATTTCTTTGATATAATATGTCATGTGTGACCTTTCAGCGAGACCTGACAAACTGTTTTGGAAATTGTCATGTGTTGCGATCGAAAAACAAACAGCGCTATGGAAACAACGGGATTCCATGGAAAAATTGATAATTGCGAATGCACAGTACAGCACAATAGATGCTCTGTTACTGATGCACGTAGGTAGTATATTAAAATTAAATTATACACATATAGTAAAAATATATTTTATACTTATGTTAAAAAAGATCTTTATTCAACCTTTTTTGTGTTGAATTTTTAATATATTGAATGTTAATTTTACTAAAGTAATGTGCTTCTACAATTTGCTCAAAAATTATGTTAATATTCTTTGTATTAATTCTTTATAATGTTTGTGTTATTTCTTAACATATTTATAACGATATGTTGATTTTTATTCTCAGGATGGAACCACATGTATAGCTGGTGCGAGAGATCGCACCCTGGTTTACTGGAAACTTCCCTCACACGAGAAACTACCCTCTCATGAAATTGGGAATTCTGTCTGCATAGATTCCGCGCATAATGGATGGATCTGGGATCTGACGGCGATAGATAACACGATCTATAGTTGTAGTTGGGATCAGAGTGTCAAGTCATGGATGCTAATCAACACCGGTCTCGTTCAGTTGAGAACTTACGAAATGTAAATAATAGCAAAACTTTCTTTCAAAATCTTTTTACGATAAAAAGCTGAAAGATTATTCCTGTTTGTGGAAAAAATAATTATTTCTCTCCGGATTATTCGAATGCAATTCAGTAAAACTATTTTTTAATCGTGTAAACTGTTTCTTTTAATTGTTTAGTGATAAGAAGAAGATAAGTAATTCTCCGAGCGAAAAAGATAAGTAATTTCTGTAGGAGAAATATAAATAATTGTTTTCCTCTCTCTCTATCTCTTTAAATTATCAGATGCAGATATGGCATTTTGTGTCTCGCTTATTGATAAATGATTTGGAAATGCGATTCTAAAGTTCACTTGCCGCATTTGTTGTATCTTATTATTTTGAGCATATTATTTTAATATCTAAATTAAATATTCCAGGAACGTGCCGGGTGCACTATTATGCGTGTCGTCATGTCCAGAGCAGACCCTCTTTGCAACCGGTTCGTACAGCAGGACTATATTCGTGTTCGATTCGAGATCAGGACATAAGCCGATCAGGCAGTATCGACCGCACACCGGGGCTGTGATTAAGCTGGCCATGAACTCGGAATACATCTTGTCCGCCAGCGAGGATAAGACAGTGTCCATTTGGGATCAGAGAGCTGGACGGACTATGAAGTCTATCACAGTAATTTCATACCGTAATTTTGATGTCATCGCGTAAAAAAGCGCAATTATGATATCACAGGTGTACTTCTTAGATTTCAGGAGAAGCCTTCCCCATGTGTATGAGCATGCAACGGGATTGGGTTTGTGTGGGTGACAGCACTGCGAAATTGCACGTGCTAAATCCAAAGAACGATTTCGAGTTAGTGAAATCTTACTCTACCGAGCATACGAAAGGAATAACGGGGGTGCATCTGACGCATGGATGTCTGATAACAAGCTCCACGGATGGTTACGTCAGAATTTCAAGCCCTACGGATCCACCGAAGCCTATTGCTGCTTTGCTTTCGGGATTCGGAGAGATTGCCAGTGTAAGTATTACTTGTGCGTATACAGAAAGATCAGGTATGTTGAAGTATCTGAAAATTTAGCTGCACAGTACAAAACATTTCATATTTGTATTAGAAGTGAACCGGATTCTTGTTAAACTTTTGCATTGAATTCTTTTTAAACAATTAGGCAAGTAATGATGGAACGATCGTCGGCAGATCTTATAATTAACAATACTTTTGAAAATAGTAAAATATTCCATTATTGAAGTAATTTTATTAATCAGTTTAATATATTAATGCGTATAAGTATTTTATATACAATTTTATACGTATGATACAATAATTTTATATAAATTTTATATATAAATGTTGATTATCTTCCGAATTGATAAAATTATTTTTAAAATGTACGATATTTTTATAAATCTATAATATCTATATCTGTATAATATATATCTGTATATTATAAGATATACGTATATTTTTCATGTATTTTATTTCACAGATGGATTACCTGAATGGTATTCTCGCGATATCTGGCATCGATATCGCAGTATGGCGACCAAAGTCGACGTTTTCAACGAAACATCAATGAATTTCTATACATGTTCTATAGCTATTCTATAGCTATATTGCTTTGATATATACATACATATATATATATGTAATATATTCTTAGTTTTTACTAAGATACTATTCAAACGCTCTCTCTAACATAGAATGTAATATATACTATTTTGTGCGTCATTTTGTTTGTTTCGTTGAAAATTCGTTTTAGTAAAAGCTTTACTAACATTACTTATAATTATAGCGCATTCATATATGAAGTTATCTTTTACATAAGAAGAATAAGAGAAAACGTATTTTTATAGTACAGTTAAGTTCTATTTGAATATAATATATTTTATACAATTATCTCGCATATCATATTATCGTATTATCATGTTTGTCATTTTGCAGATTTTCTTATATGATGTTATATTTTATATATTAATATATTTTAATATAATTTATTTTTTCCGCACGTAAAACTACACCTCGAACATGTGACTCGAAAAGCGACGTTTAGGGACTTCGAATATCAGACGCCTGTTTATAACATTTATAAACAAAAATATAAGTCGTGTATTCGAATAATAAAAGAATTCCTCATCCGAAATTTATGCTACTCATCAACTGAATCATCGACCTTAAATAATCATTTAGGAATAATTTTGATGCCATTTTGATGTAACCGTGACTTTTCGTTCCGTTGAGGAATCTCGCGAGAAACACGGGACGGAATTCAAACTTTCCGGGACGTCACGTGACGTATCGCAACCGCACCACGTGATCTGATTTCAAGTGATTTACATTGGCGATTAGTTTTTTCATACTTGCGAGAGAGACGAGTCGCGTTGATTGACGGATGCTTTTGTTTCGCGCTAAGGGCGAACAAGTGCCCTAAGTTTGCTTGTCCATACGCGTGTGTGAGGTAACGTCATCGCGGCCGTATCGTATCTTATCATTCGCGCGTTCGTGCCGCTTCACGCGCTCGTCCGAGAGAGCGAGCCGAGTTCGTGATCGCGTACGAAGAGGTTAGCGCTCGCGAACGCGACGGCGCCAAGTTCGTACAGGTAATCGCGGGAATCTTCGGCGGCAAAATTGTTCGAGAGCGCAACGGAATCCTGAATCTTCTTGGAGAATAATACAGGACGTAACAAAGTGGGTACCAATTAAGGCAACAGTGGCTTTTGCTTTCAGCAACGAAATTGCTGATTGAATTCACGGCGTTGACGAGATTGTGGTAAGTCGAACTTTGATGTATGTTAATTTTACAACGCATTAGAATTAAAATCTGCGATAAGCTCAATATGTAGCAGCAAAAATCTTTTGAAGTATAAAAATTAATTTTACTCAATTTTAACATTCAACATATATATGTATAATTTTACAATTGAAAAAATTAAATAAAAATTATATATATTTATATAATTTTTTCAATAAATTAAAAAACATACACATATATTTAATTAATTATTAAATGGAATACATTTCAATGTATGACAAATGCAAAGTAAACATATAAAAATTAAATACATATGATGAAAATGAACGAGCGATTACAAGGGAGGGAAGAGGGAAGGACGTACGAGATTTTATGGTGAAATTAACAAATCCGTTATATTGGCTTTTGATTCACCCGTTTATTCACGCAAAACAAGAATAGACTTGGATATCCGTGTCGTTAATCGTATTCATTGTACACATCTGTCCATATACACACAATATCGCGCGTCATACGCATCCACGAAATGCATATACGAAATGCGGTGTATACACATTACATATTATATGTATATATAATATAATTTTACTTTAATTGGATAGGATACGATTTCTCAGCCCTTTCTCATCTTCGTTCTCGAATTTAGTCGCGTATAATGTTTATCTGTATGCGTATATTATATATATATATATATACGAGTATTTTCCTCTTCGTATTTCCGGACGCGTGTATTACACCTGTTCTCTGTTATTCCTGCGTGTACGCGCAGATAAAAATATCCCACGCGTGTGTCTCGTTACCGTCGTTTGCAATTGTGAACAAAAACTATCCGGCGAAAGTCGACGGTGTCGCGTAAAAGTGTACACACGTCGTCTGCTCACATGTCGAGTTCATTCATATCGGAAGGGAAAAGAACTAAAAATAAATGGCAAAAAGAAAGAATGAGAAGAACGGAAAAACGTATCCGCAGTCATGCGCGCACGCACAGGTGTTTTCCCGCGCACATCGACGAAGAATCAAATCGCAGCCTGCGACTCGCGTCGACAGGTGTGAAACGGGAAGTGACGGATTAACGCTCGCAATAACGAGTTCGTATACCTATTTCATCGGTCGACGACGTTTCGTCCCGCGAGAATTGTTCGCGTGTGTATCCCTTACAGAAATTACGGACATTTACTGGAAGGTAGTGATTAAATTTACTTAATTAATTGAAATAATTTGGAGCACTGTATAGTTCAATGTTTTTGCTATGCAAAATGTGGATATAGATCAGGCGACGTCTGTATAATTCTCGTCGTGTTAATATTAATATAGCGCGAATTCAAAACCCCTGGTGTTTATATCAAGTATATACACCGTCATAAAGTATGTGCATTTAAAATCCATGGTATATTAAGTCCATCTTATATCGGGTGTTTATATCAACAGTACCATAATGCAGCTTTAAAACTCATTGATAAATATATATTGATGTTATCAACAGATAAGAATTCTATAGACACTGCATAAAGTTAAATCCACACTCATACTTTTTAGTGTTTAATACTGAAAATAAGTAGTTAATTCTTATCGATAGTATACCATCCAAGAGACATTTTGGAAATATCCTTAAAACATAGAAACGTTTTCTGGTTGTCTTTAGAACGTTCCTTGGAGACTTATGCTGTGTGAGATGTAATCAATCACTACTTTTCAGCATTAAATGGATTTCTGTAAAGGATATGTCATCCTCCCGGAGATTCCTTATTACTTTACAGTGAACATAATATTCATCTATATGAATACAGCTGTCGAGGCACGATAAAATATTCTCAAATAAAAAATTGTGAAAGAAATATTTCTGCGAGAAACATGCGAAAGTAGGATAAGTATTTTTCTGCGCGAAGTGCGCGCTATACTTTTTCAGTTTTTCATTAAAAATTATAGTGTTAAAGGACTCTACCTGTCGATGCTGCTGCACATAATTGTGTGCTGTGCGCGTCATTCGGACGATGCTTTTACGTTTCATAAATAAAAACGCTGATTTTCTGATGCGCCAAAAAAACGCGCATGCTCGGAGATTCAGGCCGGCTTCAGGGGGAAACACTTCGGAGTGCATGAATCAAACTTGCAAATTTTATATCTTAAACAAATAATATAAAAACCGCAACAAAATCGGACAGCAAAAAGTAATACAAAATAGATACAAGACTATCTAGACACATATTGAGCGCCGTGTAAATATGTGCCTCTCGATCTTCCTGTCAAAACTTTTAACATAAAAAAATTACGAATTTGTTGACGCAGCCTTTTTCTTCGCGATGTGCAAGAAATGAATGCAAAATAGATGCAAATATAAAATAAGTGGAATGTATGATGGAGCAATTATACAAATTTGAGCCTCCGCCTCGAAGTGTCTGAGTTTTCGAAGACCGTATACCTGACGATCGCAGTGACGGAATGATTTCAATACTGATTTTGGAATGATTCATAATTCTCTCAGAATGGAAACAAGATGTCGCAAGGCACGGCGGGATTTCCGTGGGGCGCGTCCTCCGGAAATTGGAAGAAAATCAGGAGATTCAGAAATTTTACTTTTAGTAAAATCAAAAGACTCAGAAATTTCAAACTTTTAAACTTTGAGAGTCGGTTTCACTAATGCCAGTTGATATTAATTTTCGTTTAATTACAATCTTTTCCACTGTCTAGAAATAAAAAATTAAAAGATTATAAACTTCATTTAATCTCGTCAATTTGATACAAGTTTAATTAAAACTGAAGATTTTGTGGACAAAACTGATTGACAAAAACCTTCCAAATTTTAACATTTCAGCTGAGTTGCTTCGACATTTTTTCCATTCATTGGCGTTTAGTGAGACCGACTCATACTGTGTGCCATTCTTTTCTATCTTGATTTCTTTCAGGATAAATAGTACCTGGTCATACTAATTTTCTCCCAAGATTGTTTTGCATATTGTACACTTAGACAATTATCCAATTAAACGTTATGGCTTTGAGGACGCGCGTCCTACTCCGCTACGCCCGGGGACACCGCTTCCTTGGCTAGGTACGCGCGCTAATACTCTTGCTTCGTTACGTGTCGCTTATACATAACTTAAGAACGTGAAAAAATAAATAAATACTACGCGTTTCGTGCGCGACTCCGTCTGCCGGACGGGCGCGGAAGAAGACGCTCTCCGTTGCTCGCGACGTCGCTCGCAAATAAAGTACAGGATACCTCTTCATCTATCTGCGTCTGTGACGAAGCTTTTGAGAATGACTGTGTTCAGCAGAGAGAGAAAGTTTTGCTGTAAAATTCTTTAATACGATCGGTTTATGCATTTAGATCCAGTGAGAGGAGCTAAGGGCGAGACCTATCATGTTAAAAAATTTTAATATTAAGAAACAGTTTCGAAGCTGCTTTACTCTAAAAAATATTGATGTAGGCTACCATGTGGCATTGATATAATTCTCATTACGTTGATATTAATATTAACACCAGCATAATTTAATACCATAGATTTTAAATCCACATGATAATGGTGTTGATATAAACACCAGAGGTATAATCCACACCATGTTGGTGTTAATATTAATTTTTTTGTGTTAATTTTTTAGAAAAAAAATATATTCCTCTGCTGAACGCAGCCATTGTCACGTATACATTCGACTCGCGTATAATTGAATACCGTTGGACATTGTCAGCATCTCTTCTACCGTGACGCCCGATGCGTTTACCTCGGCGAAAACGTCGTCATATAAATTGCAATAATAACAACAATAATTCTACTATGACATAATATTAATAATATTAATAATGCGGTCGCGGTTTGAGCGACCGATGGACCTTCAATCTATTCTTCTTCATTATCTGTTTTAAAATTAGTCGAATAAAAAAATCTTTTCTTTCAAATATTCGCCAAATTCCCGCGTTTATTTTGTATTGTTTTTCCATATGCCTAAAGACATTAAATATGTATATATCTGTGTTACGCGATGTATTCTAACCACCGACACTTTCTTCGTCCGTCGCGCGTACGTTCTCTATAAACGACTAAAGGCTCATTAACTAAACAACAAACGGATGAAGGATGGCGATAATAATAAAAAGACTTAAAAGTATAATCGAATAATAATAATATAATAATAAAATATAGATTACCGTTATTACTACATAGTGATGAATGATGGCGATTAATAATTAATGATTAATCGAATAAAAAAAAAAAACGAGTGGCGTGGTGCGCGAGAGCGCAGATATTTTATCGACTAGAATTCGTATAGATTCGCTGTGTGAGTGTATGTGTGTTTACTTGTATGGCTCAATCGTATCATTTCGCTTCCCGTGGCTTTCGTTATTTAGTATATTATTGTGTAACTTCGTTCTTCGTCGTGTCAAGCAACAACGCGACTCACCGCGAAGAGGATCTCTCTTCCGGTTTCCCTGCGAATTCTCTCAATCGTACTCTCGTCGCACCGCGAGTACTCGCCGATGTTAGAACAGAACGATGTTCGCGATATCCCTCGCTATATTATACGTGGACACCGAAACCACGTCTCGAGTTGGCAGATGGATGAATCGCATTGATCGCACATTCCGGGTGTGGCCGTGAATTTCCCTCCGCGAAATCTTCCTGAACTTCGTAGACGTCGTAAGTACTACCGTACCGTTCTCCAGGTCGTTTACCATCTCCAGATAAAAACTATCCGGACTCTGACAGAGATCTTAACGATTTCTTCGGAATCCGGAGATCGATACGCGCGGTTCGCTCGGCGTGTTCGCTGTTCTCCAACGCGACGTTCTGACTCATCCCTCTTCAGGTTGAAGAACGGTATCGAATTAAATCTCGTAAAACTCGAGACTCCTCGAAATTCGCGGAACAACGACGATCGTCGCGCCGAAGTCCTCCTCTTCGTTCTTCTTGTAGTCCTTTTTCGAGACCGCGTTCTGCATCGATCTCCTTCTTGGTCTTTGCATGTGTATATGTATGCGTGTACTTGTGTGAATGCATGCATGTATGTGTGTGTGTGTGTGTGTGTGTGTGTGTGTGTGTGTGTGTGAGGATGTGTGTACCGAGTGATGTGTCTCCTTCGTGGTGCGGCGCGTCGTTGCTCCGACCATGTCCCGTTTACTTCTTGCGACCTAGGTACTCGACCATCTCCTGCAACCTTTCCTTCTCGTCCTCAAGCAGCAGCGCTTGGATGCAGCTCGTGAAGTATTGTGTACTGAAGCAGTCTTGCCTGTAGTGGGAACAAAGATCGAGAACAGAAAAGTCGATTAGTTGATTGGTGAATATCAATTAACCATGGCATTAAAACTCGGACGTGATGCGTTTCACTGGATCTGTTCGCAATTGTTCCGTAAATAATCCAAAAACTTTCGTCATGGCCAAATTTGACATTAATTTTGAAATTTAAAAAGTTACAATTTTTATACAGATTCAATAATAATATATATATATATATATATTTGGTGCATTTTTATTTATAAATTTTGAAAACTGATAGAAATTTTTTACAATTCTGATATTCGCGAGCAGCACTTCGAACAGAAAGCTTGAACATTTTATGTGCATCGACATTTTATATTGATAGGCACATTTAGGCGAACAGGTCTGTGATAGTAATTGTTAGTGCGTAGGGAGGCATCGGGACACGTGTGGGAAGGCATCGATTGTGTTTCGCACTCTACATCAAATCACGAGTAGAGCGTGAATTGTTTCGCATTATAAAAAAAATCACAAAAATATTCAAAAATGTCAAACAGCGCAAAATCGCAGACATCGCCACCTAGAAAAAAAAGTATTCCTACGTCAATCTGCCAGCTTAATCATCGTCCTGAAAAAACATTGACGAGGCGCAAAAATTCAAAATGTAAAATATTTGTTCGCAGACTCGCAAAAAGAGGAGAAAAATCGTTGTCTCCAAAAAGTCAAAAGGTACGTCAAAGTGCACTCACAATCAGACAAAAACATTGTAATTGCAACTATAAAGGTGACAATTACAAGTTTTATATGTAGAATTAATGTACATAATTAAATATATATTATAATTAAATAATTTCATAGTTACAGTAACTACAAAATAATTTTTTCAACTATGTATGTCAATTTTACATAAAACTTATATAGGTGTCAATTTTATAGTTGCTACCAGTATTCTTTCTCTGAATGTGATAATATGAAGTCAGAATGTACGAGATGATGCTGTATATTACGTTGCCAGCGCGCGATGCTGCATTTTGTCAAATTAAATTATAAACATAATTGTCATACTAATTATTTATCTCTCTCATTAATTGTTCATATTGTTCAAAATTTATTTTAATACTCGCCAACATTTTCGAAAAAGATACTATAATGTTCTTTATAATTTCTGTTACGATAAATTGCAATACATTATCTTTTTCTATTGCAGCATTGCTCGCTAGTATAAGATTTTTTCTTTTTCTCTTTTTTCTCTCTTGCGTAGAATTACCTAATATCTCATACTCATTATCTCGGTGCGAAGATACTATAATATATTCGATGGATATTCGTCCAGGGGATGGTGTCAAAATGCAACGAAAATATAATTGAAAATAATAGCAACGGGAGTAACAAATATATTAAAAAAAAGGGATAAGTAGAAACTCGATCAACCCCGATATCTATTCGTATTTCTATTCACAACTTAATCTCCCCTATACAAACCATTAATACACAGAGTGCTTTTCCTTTAGTGTTACAAGTTGATACAAAAGTATCATTCTATCTTTCTTGACATTCCATAAGTAACAAAGACAGAACGATACTTGGATCGACTTGTGTCACCAAATGGAATGCATCCACATTCGATAACGCATTTGCTATTTAAATCGGCGAATAATTTATTGAATTACTCATTATTAAAGTATTATCATTTATTCAGTTTCTAAAGCACTTGCACGTAATTTTTATCCAAACACCACTGCGATTGGTGAAGTACAACTCGATCACTTAATGTTATATTTATGATTTTTATACGCTTAATATTTTATATTACTTGCATCATGTAATCGAAAACACGTCGATTTTCCCGTAAACTATTAACATTACAAATATTACAAGATGTTTACGTACAATCGTTATATGCAAAAATTGCGTGAACAAATCGGAATTTTAATGTTTCCGACGAATATGGAAGTATAATCGAGACGAGAGCAGACGAGGAAGGATAGTGGAAGTGCAAGCGGACACAGTTAGTTCTTTATATTTGCGAAAAGCGGAAAGAACATAAAAAGGGGCACATAATGGGAGAAATCATAAACTAAAAAGAAAAGGCTACCTAAACCCCAGGATCAGCTCCGTGGAGTTGCTTGATCCACATTTGGATCTTTCCGACCTCGTCCGTTAGCAGCAGAACGTCTAAGCATCCTTTGAAGTAGTCCGTGGTGAAACATTCCTTCCTGTAGAGAGTTAAAAGAACATATCAATTAAATCACAATTAACATAAGTTACATTCGTAGACAGCAGCTCGTAGCTCGAAAATCCTGAAAAATGTCTCGCGAATAATCGTATAAAACATATCGCTCCTCCCTTATACTTTAATGAGTGACACAACTTAAAAAAATTAGGCTTCCAAAAGAAAAATTTTTCCAATCTGACTTTTAAGTACATGAGGAAAGAATATTTTCATTTAGCGAAAACATTTCATTATTCCTCCAATATTTTTCAAGTTGTGATTCACCTCGACACATCGTGGTCTTTTCTCGTTATTTCACGTCTTGACAAGAGGATGAAAATTTTTCTAAATTTAGCTACATTCCGTTACGTGCGGAATTTCGAGCTAGCCCGTTCGTCAGCCCGTCTCTTTTTCACGTTGATCCCGCTTGCTCGTCAATAATAGAATCTCTTTTGAGACGGCCGTTAAGCCGGCTTAACGCGGCGCGGCACAAACGGCAGGTAGCAGCGGATGTGCGTTGGTATTCGCTCACACGAGCTATAAATAGAAGAGAAATCTCATTCCATTTCGATACGCGTGCCGACGTATGGTGAACGCGTGCGTGTGCGTGTGCGGCGGTACCAGAGAGCAGAGCACGTGTGCGCCGTAAGTACGTGTACACGTACAAAGGTATACGTATTCGTACGTACGTCCACCTTGGCCGTTGTTCCCCGTCGACATTTTTCAAGGTAGAAATCACACGGCGGAAGTCATTTACGAAATTGTCTCACCGCGTGTCAGAACTCGATAGATTTTTCTTTGGCTGGTTTCTCCCCGCGATATTTTTGCCAGAGATCCCGTCTCAGCTCGCGAGATGAAGCTCGTATATTATGCATAAGGAGAAATCACTTCTACGAGACTTACATCCAATTTTTCTCCATCGCGTCTGTTTCCGCGTAGAATCCCTCGATTAAGCGTAAAATATGTATTTACTAATTTGAATTCTCCGAGATCGTGGAGCTTTTGTTTATGATTAAAAAAAAACCGAGCTCGCGCGTCTGCACCCCTCAAGTTGATCTTACGAATTGCAAATGACGTAACATGAAAATTATTAATTAGATCTCGAGGAATAAACTGCTAATTAAATATTTAAATATATTTTTATTATGTGTATATTTATTTGTATATTTTTTAAATAATATAATATTAAATGATAAATAAAAAATAATAGCAAAGGTATAAACTTTTCGGAGTACATCCATGTGAATATTAAATATTTTTAGAATAAAATCAAGATACTAAATTAAAATATCTTAACGGATTATCAAAGTCTCAAACTGAAATTAGCATCCAGTTGTTTATCCGTTTAAATTATTCCAAACGCCAAGAGTTTTAATTATCCAGAAAATTTTGCAAATTTCCTGACAATATCTTGATTTCCAGTTTCGTGGCAACCCCGTGATATAATTCATAACTTTAAATTCCTCCTTATGTCAAGATTATCGCGTCTCGTATCAATTGCGTTATCGCGGACGATTGAGAATATCTCATCTTCCATCGGTTTACGCTCTAAATCACCGCGGAGCAACAGCAGCAACGCGCGGTCTGTCGGTCGCGAAAGTATCTAGTCATTGTGGATAATTAAACGTACTTGCAAAGCATGTGCAATTGCGGTTCCCGGAAGAGGTTGTAGCAGTCTTCGCAGATGCGGTCCAGACGGGCGAAGATGCTCTTGTCGTACACGCCCTTACACTGGATGTCGAAGAACGACCTTTTGCCCAGAGGATGGCCGCTAAGGCTGGCGGCGTCCGCGCCCAGGCCGATGCAGGACGAGATCAACAGTAACGTCAGCGACCACGTGAGGACGGACATCAGTAACGGACACGACGACCTCGCGGACGACGACCTCGACGACGACGACGTCGACGTGAGTAGCGTCGAACACGAGGAATGATAGGCGGCCGATGGATACATCGCGAATTCGTCGTTGGATGATGACTGGGTGCTCTGCTGCCGATGCATCATCTGAAAAAGAGAGCCATACGTCATTAAATTGCAGTCTCTTTTCTAATCGCGGCTTAAAAATAAGCCGCACGCCACACTCTCGAAAATATTATTTGATTATAAATTTCACAGTGATCGTATAGGTATTTCATAAAATGCAAACGTGTTTTTGGATTTCGTCAGACAACAATATTGTCTTTGTAATCTCTGTTTCAAGTATTTCATGCGTTTTATGCTTACAAATTTTTCATGTGTTACTGTCTGTAAAGATACAGAAAGTAGTTTGCACGTTAATTACAACTCGCTTATTAGCGCCAGCTGCCAAGAATTCCGTATTTATAGAGACCGCGCTATTTACTCCTACACACCTGTGTCTAGATTATTTGAATGATTAATAGATAATGGAAAAAATATGCGTTCCAATCGCTTAAAGTCACATGAAGTTTTATTTGTGCTCATATGACGTATCACTATTTAAGGACTTATATTTATTATACAGAATCACACAGGCGTAATATATATACATATATATATTTGTTTATGTGTATATTTTTATCATTTAAATATACTCTATATACATATATCTAATTTTATATATATATACAATTAATTAAAGTTAAAATTAACGCGACGATGACATAGCAACGAGAAACATTCACATGTTATTATGAATGTATCCTAAATTCTCTTTGCGTCGTTAGAAATGTTTGTCCGGTTTTTGACATATACCAGGAATGTGTTTACAGTCTCGTCATTATTTTCGGCGTTTTTTTGTCTAATAATAGATATGTTCGCAACCAAATTAGACGAATCAAAGCTAAAAATAGACATCTTAAAGCTGAAGCAAAACTGGCTATTTCAGCTATGCCTTCCTTTAAGGATGAATGATTCCAAAAAGGCCCCCCTGGCCTGATCGTTTATGGGATCGCAGGTAATAAATCGTGAAGTGAATCAGCCCACTAGATGTAGAGCGAAGCTTCTTGAAAAATTGTTTTCCAAAGAATCATTTCGCACGCTGCGAAATGGTTTTCTACTCCTTTCCTTACTTTCCTATCTTTCTGTCATACCGCTTTATATTTTATATCAGACTGAAGCAATCATGCAATCCGAAGGTATCTCTCGGAATGAGATGTTTAAAAATATGATCTCTGAAACCGGGGGTTTGACCTCGCGATTCGACGTCGTTGGCATGACTGTTCATCGAGAACACTCGTATATATATAACGACGGACATTCGCATGTTCAGGTATACCAATATACCTCATCATCTTCTCGCTCTCCTCCTCCTTCTCTTTCGATTGACCGAGCCGGCAGGCAGGCCCGGCCTGTACACACACACGCACACAGGTTGAGATGTAAAGCAACTCTTAACCAGTCCTGCAGCAGTCGCTGTGAATGGACCACACGCAGGTAGGCTCTACCTGTAAACGTCCTCAACCGACAACTTCATTAACCGAGGCCCCAACGCACGATCACCACACGAGGGGGCCCCCCTTTCTCACTCTCTTTCTTTTCGCCTCCTCCCCCTCTCCTTTCCCTGTGTCCCTCTTTTCCCTCTTATACGTCTGTATCGTCATACCATCCGTAGTCCGTCCCACCTCTTTTCTTCCTCGTCCCACCCGCCACCTGCACACACGAGAGCGAGCGTTTCGCCCGGTTTCTTCTTTTTTCGGAACATAATCACCGCTCCCGGGTGGGATCTTATTTTTAGCCGCCCGGACGATTCTCGGAACTTCTCCGGCAACCGCTCTCTTCTATATATCGGCGCCTCCACGTGGTAATTGGCCGTAGGCCGATAATTTGCCCCCAAAGTCGCCCGCATCCTGAGATCGTTAAGACTCTCCTCTCACTCTCTTCCGTTTTCTGCCCCTCCTCTCTCTTTACCACCCTCCCCCTCTCTCTTTCTCTCTCTGTGCTCTCGTATAGATTTCCAAAGGTATAACCGCTTGTCTCTGCAGGAAAGAATGGACATGTTCCGAGATCTGTCTCATTTCTCTTCGGGGATCGACTTTCTCGGAACGTATCCGGTGTGAACCTGCCATCAGAGCGGCATTGTAAAAGAATCAGAATCTCTCCATCTATAGAACCTCCTCGTTTGCTACTTAATTAATTTGAATCTATCGTTAATTTTTGTAACTATATATCGCGTAATCGCAATGGCTTAGCTGTTATAGAATTTCCAGGCGTCCTGAATAAGGTGAAAGTAAATACATGTCACGAGTGTATGTAAGCAGTACTGTCTGTTTAATTAATTTAATTGCATTCCGTATAAGTATATCTCGTGTCTTGAAATATTAATATGATCGCGAATTGGTTAGAGACGTACGAGAAAGGAAATCAATATTTCGCAGGTTACACGTATTTCAAGATAAATCTATTAACAGTAAATAAATGTTCACGCAGCTCGTAATTTACAAATCAATATACAGAAATAACAACAAGCATGATACAAGATAAGATTGTAATGTGTTAAGTAATTTATTAGTATATGTTCGCGTAACGAAACTCCAATTTTATATAAATACAAAAGATACTACATCTATTTTACTAATGAAGATGTTAAGAGCATTTAATGTAACAATATTTTTATTATTTTTGTTAGCAAAGTGTTATTTATAAGTTACTTGATATCTTACAACATTTATCTTAAATGTTGCTCATTGTTGATCTTTACATTGCTTTGAATTAAAAAAAAATAGATACAATTTTCTTCATATTTATATATGTAGAATTGGAGTCTTGTTACGGAACAAGTATTCACTGTAAAAAATAATAATCTACGTACTTATAAAACGTTAAGTTATATAATGAATACGTAAATTATCAATTAAATGACGCAATTAAAAATGTCCTATAGGCGACAAATTTTACTCAAGATATATTTAAACGAAATATTTAATTTGTAAACATGTACTTTCTACAATCGTGGATTTTTCTTCTTTAATTAGGGCAGAAAGAAGGGATTTATAAACATTCGTCGCAGTCCCCTAAATAAATCTCCTCCGTTATCCTTATCGCAGCTCTCTCGTTTCGTCTTCGTTGGGGGACCCGATCGGGATAACGCGTGTGAAAAAAATCTGAGGGGACTGACGGGGCGCATAAAGACGTCATAAATTAGGCCCAGTTGCACCGGTACATTTTAAGGTGTGGGGGAACTTTAACTTTCCGCTTGGCCCCGATTTCGATAATGGCAGGAGGTCCTCCGTCCGGATTTAAGCCCGTGAGGCCTCTTATCTTAAATTTCCCGGTTGCATTGACAACCGGACCACACAGGGGCATAAAGTGCATCGATATATGCGTCGCGAAACCGTCGCTCTCGCCTCCGACACCGCTGGACCGCGAGAGATGGTAAGTCAGCCGGCTTTAAAAAAAACGGTACAGCCTGCGCACAGGGGTCCGGTTGGGCCGATCTCACGAGGCGAAACACATTCGACTTACTTACAGGCAGATTACATTATATTTTGCACCGACGGACGGCGCAAGAACCGGCCGTTCCGTAAAAATCCCCATGTGTAAATAATGGCGCTTTTTAACCAGCAGATGTGGAGCGACTTATGAAGGTATCCGCCGCGCGATAACGCCCTGCAACGTGTGCTCACTGTAATTTACGAAGCAGAATTGGTTAGCGGCTAATAAAGTATAATAAAGCGAAATCCCTTAATCGACGTGCTCATTAAGAAACGGCGACGTTCTTCAGGCACTTGGTTCGAATTTTTCCCAAAGAAACTCGAGGAATCCGGACACCCTCACATTAGGAAAAATTTCGGAAAATTATAGACAAAATCAGAAGATTCTGATCATATCAAACAGAATTTTGGTTATCTCGAGACTAAAATTATAATAGATTTAGGCAGGACATTTTGATTTGTTTCCATTTTCAACTACACACACACAATTCTAATTAATGCAAACAGACTTTTTTTCTGCGCTAGATATTTTTTTACAAGATTTTGGTAAAATTGTTTCAAATTACTTAACCCGACGTATTTACAGTTTCTGTGAGCAACCTGTAATGGAGTTCTCTTGAATTAATTAACTTTTGTTATTTACGAAAGACATTTTTTCGTAAAAATCGAGACGACTGCAGTCAATTGTGATTGCGTAAAGACGTACATAGAAATATGTTTCGTAAAAAGCTCGTGATATCAATGCGTCGTGTCGATATAGCAATGTTTCGATTATGTCTCTTGCGAAAAATCGTCGCTATATTTAGAACGGCCTGTGGGCGTAACACAGAGATCGGGTCAGTACAACTTATTCCGCTTTCCGTATAGAGATAATTCGAATGAGAACTAATGTTCTAACTAAGTTGTGCCGCAATATCGCATGATGACATCGAACGAAATCAAAATGTCAAAATAATGAAACAAAAATCACATTCCTCTTATTTTTCAACCTAAAATAGCAGTGAAAGTTAAATTCTGGTATCATTAATCAATATCACCACACAATAGTCTCATCAATAATTCTTTTCCAAATTTTCTATTTTATCTAATATTGATTTTATGATTAGGTTAGAGTTATTCTAAGACAATTGTCTCTTATGTTTTTTTAATACATTGAAGTTAATAATACAAATAAATCATAACTTTTTTATTTGATAAAATTAACATTTGAATATTTAGTATATATTGATTTTATGATAAGGCGCTAGTTATTTGATAACAAAATAAAATACTATCGTATCCTTTTAGTAAATATGTTTAAATTGGCGATAAAAATAAAGTTTGAAAATTTAAAATACATATAAAATCGTGAGTTATAAGGAATAATCTAAGAAATGGTGTACCTATTCTCAATATTGCAAATCGATATTCTAGATAGATTCATCCCTTTTATAGATGTCATTTCGGATTTAATAATGACATAACTTATGCACCTTACGCTGTATATAAAGGAAAGTAAAACACGTAGAGGGTGGCACAGCGAAGCGAACGGGAAAAGATAGAAGAAATACGAAAGCGTACCGAGGGGTGCGCGAAGGGAAGAAAAAGTCAATGGAGACCAGTTGCTCGATAGGT